TCTAGTTTACTTTCACGATAATGAAAAAATATGATCCTGGTGCATATATTTGGTGAACGGTCTTTGGATAACTGTACTGAACCTCTTGATTTTACCTTGGATTTGTTTTTTTAAAAAAGACTCTCAGATGCACTCAAATCGTTTTCTTGGGTGAAAATTCTTTAGAAAGGAAAATTAAAGTTAGCAGTGGAGTTTTGTTTTTGGAAACAAACTGAATTGTTGGTGTTTCAATTGCAGGAAGCAGCTCTTGCTAAAACCAGGGAGCTGAAGAAACTTTGCGAGAAGACACTCTCGTCCATGTTTGATGGAAGACCTGTTAATATAATCGGAGAGATCAATGCCTTATTGAGCAGTGGAATTGGTGCGTAAACACTTGAGACTTCTGTCTCATGCTGTAAACTTTAGGCTCAAAGAATCTTCTTTACAGCTCGAAAAAAATGAAGAAATGTTGGAAAAGCTAGTCCATCGTTCTCAACAGACGAGGGAAAAAAAAAAGACTAATTACTTTGAACTAGCTGTAAGAAATAATTGGTGGGGGAATTCTTATAAATTATTTTTCACCTGGCTCCTTTTTTTTTAAACAATGCTAATGATATTAATATTTTATTGCTAACATTATTGTTGATCATATAATGCATTGATGAATTACAGCACGTTTGCCTGATTAATCGTTAGGATCCACGGTACCATGTTCTAAAAAAAAATACAACATTAACGTTGTTTTAAAAGTTTTTCCATGTTGAATACGCCGTAGTAATTAAAAAATGAACTTGTCGTATGCTTGGAGGCTTGTACTCTTTAATACGTTTTTTTTTTTAATTAATGAATGGATGTGAAAACTATTTTTTTAAAGAACTTAATGCGTGAGAGATATTTTGTAACTAAAAAAAAAAAATCCCATATTGGTGGTAAAAAGGATCGGAAAAAATTATTATATACCTAATGTTTTTTTTTATTGTTTTAGGAAAGATTTCTTTCTTTGGCAATATAATCTCTCCATGATCTATTTATCATAAGAAATAGCTAAAAAAATTCTTTCTATTCTTAGAGATAAATCACTATTCCCGCAAATAGTGTAATTACCATTTTATACTTTCTAAAAATGTCAATGATTTTACTATTATAGGAGGTAATTGGATCTTTTTGTAAGATTTATTGGTCATTATAAAACTGAGTGTGGGATATGTATGTTTTTTATTTTTTTTATTTTTTAATATAGTGAAATGGCTGAATTATTCTTAAATAAAGTACAATAAAATAACTAAATTGTTTTTAGAAGCAATTTTTTTTTAACTAACATACATGAGTTTATTTATTTAAAAAATACTAAACACACAATTTTATTATATAATCCAACAATCTCATCTTCTTAGGATCCAATAATCAATAATTTTCCAACTTCACATTTAAAACTTCCGTATCCGTAACATGTGCACAGAACTTCCAAAGTTTTGGCTTTGATGTTCACTGGGGATGTCACTGTGGGTCCTCGATAGATCGTAGTCTATGATATAAATAGCCATGTCCTGAGGTAATACCATGGCTGTCGCACGCAGCAGGTTCACATGGAAGGATACAAGTATATTTTTTAGCTACCTTGCCCTGTCATTTCTCTGTTGTTCTAGTTTATGTTCAGTGTCTTCACCTTTTCTGTTTGGGAGCCAGTGCTCTGCTTCTTTTGCTTTCATGGTTTCTTCTATTGATCTACTTTGGCTTATCAAAAAGAAGAAGAAGAAGAAAAATGATAAAAACGAAACTCAACCTCAGACCTCACCCCCTTTGCTCATGCAAGAGTACCTCGTAGCTACAAACTCTTTGGTTTTTTTAGCGAGCGTTTTCCCATTTATTGTAGCATAATTGCTGGGCATTAAGAAGACTAAAGTGCAAGAACTCTCAAGCATCATTTCTGAGTGATTTGAGCTCTATTGTCAGGAGTTCCAGCCAGCAAAACATGTTTTACAGCAATTTATCTAAGAACGATAGAAAAGTCACACCAATAACAGATTTCCTAAACGAGGTTGGTAAGTAAATTGATTGTTGGAAATAAAAGAACCACTGTAATTTACGAACCTGCTTAGAATAGACTGTTATCAAACATGCCACCACTTCATGTGGTGAAGGCAGAGGATATAGGAACCAAACTAGTGACACAATGAGTTATGATACTAGTTTGTCTTGTTGGAATTTGTGTTGGGCAGTTTTGGAAGCTTCCAAGTCAAAATGTCCTGCTTGTGGTGAGAATAAACTTTGAGATGTCATCCTTTTAATTTGCAAAAATAAGAATCATTAGACATGGAAGCTACACTGTTGTGACTGAATTATTTTTATTCATAAAAAATGGTATTAAAATGCTGCAACCATTCTAAAAAAAAAGAAATTTATTTAAATTAGATTAAAAAAATAGATAATAGTAGCACTCAAAACAAATAAAAAAATAATTATGATAACCGGGGAAAAATTGCTAAATAAAAAAAAATGATGCTTCTTAATTATTAAGCCAATTAAATATGAAGGGACAAGATTGGATAACTTCATAGAAAAAAAATTAACAATTTGAATTAATATGAATAATTTATAACTCGAGTATTAAGAGTCAAAAGCCAAATCAATGTAAGGTTATGAAATTAGAATAATTCTATAGACAAATACAAAGTAAAACATAAAGCTCATTTAAAAAAATTATTAAATGATACCAATCCATAAATAAATAATATCAACCCATATTAATTTTTCAAACTTGTGATTTAGGTCATTAGAATGAAAGTACCATACATGAAAAAAATTATGATATCTAATTCTCAACTAATCAAATATTATATTAAAAGAATAAAAATGAAATTAAAAAAAATTGTCACATACTAGAATTAAATGTTAAAATTAAAAATAAATAAAGATTTTACAAAGAAGCAAAGAAAAATAATTGAAAATAAAAAATAAAAATTAAAGTTAAAATTTTAATAAATAAGTGAACATTTTTAAAATTTTAAATGGTCAACACAAGTTTCAAGGTGACAACAAAAAATAAAAAAAAATCACCATTAATAACAAACCATTTCATCACCATTACCATACATCACCTTACATCACCTTCCAAGGAAGAAGACATCATAATTATTTTAATAACAAGACAGAAGTGAATTCTTTTAAACTGAAAAACATATACCGCCAGAAAGCTACAAGTACCAACCACTTTTTGTCTAACAAAATATTTTATATTTATTAAAATATCAAATTATTTTCATTCAATTTAATAATAATAAAAAAAACAAGTTAAAAAATAATTTTAAAAATTTTGTTTTTGAAACTAATTGTTATTTTACTATATTTTAAAAAGTAGAAAAACATCTCTGGACGCTAGCTTTAAAAATTTTTCTTTTGAAAATAATTTAATCATCCTATTGTGCTTAAAAAACAGAAAAAACAATTCTATTCCCTATCAATCTGATAATAATCAATCAAACTTGCAAAAATATTGAATCATGCCAACACCAAGCCATTGATTTTTCAGGGTGAATAACAAAATGATAATTGAACTGTTGCAGTGGATACTATTATGTGTGTCTGGTATTCATCCTTCCGTTTTAGTTTGGTGTGGTTTTTTTTTTTATATACCGGTACCAAGCATCAAAAGTTTGAAACTATATATATGACAATCGAAATTTTAAAACAATTGTACATGCAACATATGAAAACCGAGAAATTGCGTACAGTATGCATTAATATTCTGCTGTTAATGTAATGTAAAACTTAAGAATTCTTTAGTATCTATCTAATGTAAAACAACTAAAAAGCATACTCGAGAGGTAAAATCTTGCAGTTAAAAGGCATGCTTACTTTTGCAGCAAATCAATCCCTGCCTTAAACATACAAATATCCATTATTTAGAACAATTTTGGCTTGATACCTATGGAACCTAGCAGACAATAAGAAGGAAGAAAGGAAAATGTATAAAGACTCCTATTAATGAAGGAAGAATGATACGAGGGAAGAAAAAAGCAGTTTCTCTTTGCCAACGAATTTATATACAATATACACAAATAAAACTTGAGAACAACCAGTGTAGCTATGTACTGTTATTTGACAGGTTCTACCCTTCGTTACCGGGGAAAACTTTATCGAAAGATTTTAAGCATTACCTTCTAGCAAGCATTTGAGATTCCGAAGTCCCTCGGCGGAAATGCTCCGCCTGAATCTTGTCCTCTGTACCACCACCGGTGGTGGTGGCTCCAGGTGAAAGCTAACAATTACAACAGTCAAGTTGTCGGTTGCTTCCCGTTTTATTGCTTCCCCGACCATTTCTCTGCAGCACCGCTTCACATCATTGTGCTCTTGAAGTCTCTTCCTAACAAAATCTACTGCATTTTGGTTTGAGTATACATCCCATATTCCATCACTTCCGATTATCAAAAACTCATCTTCCTTGGTCAACGTAACCAATTTAAGTTCTGGTTCAGCACTTAATGGGCCGCTTTTGTCACCTGTTTTCTTCATTCCTTCGAGATGCCAATCACCTAATGCACGGGTAACACCTAACTGACCATTTAGATAACCATCATCAATGAATCCACCTAAGGACTCAATTCTAGTCCTTTCTTTAATGCAGCAAGGTCTGTGATCCTCTGACATTTCCTTAGCTATTCCACCTCGTGATAATACTGCCCGACAATCACCAGCATTTGCCACAAGTAATGACCTGTCCAAGATGAAAACATTTTTTTATCAAGCAATGCACTTTATCAAAAGACATAATGGAATGCCAATATATGATATTACTAAATGTTTGGAGCAATTCCTAACAAGTTAAGATCTCAGGTCTCATTGCAGATCTTTATGAAAGGTCAGAAAGCTATATAATTGGGTCAGGACAGGATGATCTTGGAAGTCAGAAATAGACTAAACAAAAGGGATGGCGTGAACTAGAAAGTCCTGAATAAACCACAGGAAGGAGATGACTGATCGCTAAATAGGATAGGAAGCACTCACCTCCCAAATATCATTGCAGTAAGTGCAGTAGTGCCAGAAGAACGGGCTGACTCAAGGGAGCATGACTTTTCAAATGCAGCATCAGTCTCAATGAATGACCTTGCGACCACTTTCTCAAGTTTTACAGGGAAATCAGCATCCTCAACAATGACTTTTGGTAAATGTTCACAGACAAAATGTGCTGCACTCTCTCCTCCATGCCCATCAAATACCTGTTTTCCAAAGTATATGTAATTTTCAAAATAAGAATGAAAAAGTCCCATTTATTATTGCTTTGTGTATGCTTGTTGGCATTATTTTTCTAAAGATTTATGGGTAAAAAAGGAAATCTCATCCACTAGGAAAAGGAAATCTCATCCATGCTCCCAAAAATTGTGTTATAAATGGGTAGTTTCTAATCCTTAAAACATGACCAACATCTGATCATTAACCCCAAAGAAGGGTTCCAGTCATGCTAATGGCTCCACATCAGCCTCAAATTAATACCGTCAGTTTTGCATGCTTAAAATATCAAAATGGTGATGATTGCTTTCCTGTATAGATAATAACCCTCTAGTTTAAAGTATCTAGCACAACTAAAAGAGTGAAAGTGTTGATGAATGATGTCCTTATTCAGAATGCATAACATCTTTAAATATAGGAAACATTGCTATCAAGACTCATTAACCACAGGAAGCTTCAAGTCCCTTTTGCCTCGTTGTAGTTACAGGGGAGTGCTTAAGTTGATAGACACTCTCAATTTGTGGACTTGATGCTTCTATAGCATTACTTTAGACACAATTATGATGGCAGAATACAGGATATAAAGCACAGGTTTTAAGCATACTAATTGAAAACAGTGGCACCTTCAGATTTTCAAGTCTAAAGTGATGCTCAGATTAAATTAATTTGAAGTGATAAGCTTTGATTAGATTTTAGACTAAAAAGTGCTATCTTCATTATAAGTTCAAAGAGAGAAAAGTGAGATCAAGACAACTTCATTGTCCTCCAAGTCAACCTGGTACTCTATAAAGGTATACCACAACGAAGTTTGGTAATCATGAAGCGAAAGAAGCCCTCGTCCTAAAATATTTCTACCATATAAGCTAGAAGACCAAAAGCCATGATTTTTATTTTTATTTTCACTACCGAACAGAAAGCACAAGTAAAAATATAATGCTTGACAAGGACCAAAACAACAGAAAAACATAAGACTCATTAGCAGCTAAAATAGCAGATAAACAACAGATTGGACAATAACTTACACCATAGAAAGAAATAGCATGCTCACTGATGAGCAAATTGGAGCCAAACTTCTTAGCCAAGTCACTGATGCAAATGTGTGTGTCTTCCATGTAAGGCCGACCACCAATATCAGACCATTCTCCTGAGCGAAGGGTGGGGAAAAAATCTGTTAGAAGATTCTGTTTCCTTTCTGTGACCACTCGATCCTCGCAGATGCTTTCCAGCTGAAAGAGCAACCACAAACAAATAAAACTAAATGAGATTGCAGAAGAACAGATAGTGATGAAGATAAATATTCCACAGAAGGCTAAACAAGGATGATAACAAGTCTAGGGTAATCACCACCAAAGAGAGAGTAATATGGGATTGTAATAATACTTCTGATTAAGTGCAAATTCAAGACCTCTAAATAACAGAAGTGAGATTATGGACATAGAAAGGCATGAAATGGTTAATGATTAAGAATCAAGACAGGGTTCCTACGTTCAATTTACAAGATACTATAAAAATAAAAGTTCAACCAGGATTAACGATTTACAACGAGCCCTGTTCTTTGATTCACTCTCTTTCACCATCTATCTATCTATCTATCTGTCCATGATAACTACGAGTCCAAGAAAAATAGTAAATAAGTCAAGGGAATAAAATTGAAGAGAAATTATTTACCAAAGCAAGCAGTACCATGCAGGTGGTGAAAAAAATAAATTAGAGTCATAGTACTGTAACTAGCTCATTGAAGCAACAAACAAGAAAATTTTTAGTGCAGACTGCAGAGAATCAAGGCAGAAAAAATATTGTATCCACATATCTCCAAAAGCCCACAAAATCCATGAACCAGCAACAATTTCATAATTAAACAACCAGCTAAAAGTCGGAAGCTTTTTAGAGCAAATAAGGAAAAGGAAATTAGAAAGCAACACTAAATATGGATACCATGAACCAGTAACAATTTCATTATTACACAACCAGCTAAAAGTCTGAAACCTTTTAGAGCAAACAAGGAAAAGGAAATTAGAAAGCAACTCTAAATATGGATCATCAAGAGCTTCAACAGCTAGGGTGGGAGAAAAAAAGACATACAAATTCATCAACAAAAATCAAGTTAGCATGGCATTAATGAACTGATAACATAAAGTCAACAACTCAATTCTCACCAAACACGTCTTCAAAGGAAATAACATAATTCAGAACACAAACATGCACGGACAAAAACACCAAAAAACATCCCAACTTTGGAAAACAGTAAATCAATTCCAACAAAAAACGGGCAGAATACAGAACACAAAAAAGAAGAAGAAGAAGAAGAACCCAACTAAGGAAAAGAAAGAAGGATTCTTACAGGATAAGAGTTGGCAACACTGATCCCACCACTAGAACAAATCAAAGAAGAGTCTTGATCAAAATTCTCCATCCGGGTTTGCAAGAGGTCACAATGCAAAGGCCAAGATTGCATCTTGTTGCTATTACTATTATTGTCAATTGGGTTCTCTATTTCTTGCTCTGCATCCTTTGCACACATGGTTATGGTCAATATTATTATTATTATTATGTTGGTGACAGAAAAGGAAGAAGAAAAAAAGAGACTTTTTAGAGTCTTTGGCAACTAGTTGTTGTCTTTGTGGGAATCCAAAGCAGCAGCAACACGCCTCACATGAGAGGAGAAAAAGAAAAAGTAGAAGAAGAAAGAGAGAATCAAAGAGAAAATGCTAGGATTAGAGAGGGGTGGAAGACTATGAGGAATATATCTAAGATGACAAAATGGAGGCTAATGGGGTTCTATGGAGGAGTTGTTGAGGGCCGAGAGAGAGGGTGAGTGAAAATAAGAGCCGTTAAATTAGAGATTTTTCTAAGAAAGCGTGGCTGAAAATCGGTTGGTTAGGTTGTAGTTGCAGTTGTAATTGCTGCTCTATTATCCCAAACGTTGTTCTTATGGGCATCGTGGAAATTGGATACATAAAATAAAAATCTTGTACCCTGTCTTTTTCTTATTTACGAAATGCCCTTTCAGCTATGCCTTTTGTTGTTGTCGTTGTTGATAGGAAAAGGGATTTTAATCTACATAAAAAATAGAAAGAATAATTTTAGGGATATGAAGAATAATTCAAAGAAATATGTTCTATTTAAAAAAAAAAATCATATCTTAATGGATTAGAAAATATGATATTTTTATAATATCCACAACTTAAAATCTAAAAAAATAAAACATTCAAAGATTTTATTTTCAATAACTCAATAATATTATGTAAATGATAGAAGGCCCTTTTAAAAAATAATAGAGAGATTGTCAAGCAATGTAGCCTTATTTCTGTCGAGTACTGAATTAACTATAAAAATTAAATTTATAATGTATAGATTGCGTGAATAAATAAATAAATAAGCATTTTTCCTCGGTGGTTTGAGAAAAAAAGAGTTTATATGGTGCCTTGATGTACACTTAAAACAAATATTCTTTTTTAATGCGTTTATGGTACGTAAAAAGAATAGTTGTTGTAAAAACACGTGTTTGAAAACTTATATTAAAAATATAGGTAACATGTATGTATTGAATAAATGTATAATAATCATTTAAACAACTTAAAGGCCATAAAATAGTGTTTTAAAATTATTTAAGAGTATTCGAATTAATAAAACAATTTCTATAAAATTTGTGTTTTTATATATAATTATGGATAATATTATTGACAACCATAATGCTACATATATATGTAATGGGCATTTGGTAATGAATATTATTGTTTTGAATTTCTGGAAAAGTTTAATGAACAAGAAAAAAAAATCGCCTTTGTCACGTAAATGCATCCTAGTTGTGGAATTATATACATACATTCATACATACATACATATATATATAGAAACCTTCCTTCCATGAACTTCTAAGAAATTTCACGAAAGTTCATGGATGAAGGAAGGTTCTCATTTTTTTTGTCAAAATCAACAGTAGAATACTTGTGTTCCAGGGCATAGGTTAGAAACCTTCACCTTTTGAGGTGATTGCTATTTCACCCCGATTCATTCCAAAATATATATTTAAACATCTCATGGAAAGAAGCTTAGATTATTTTTGTGGGATTATTTGCAATTTTACTCTTGTCAAGTTATTTATATTCAAGTTATAAAAAATTAAAATCGTGGTGTTGAGATTTTTTTTGTCTTGAAAAATAATTTACAACAAACTAATAAATTGTAGGAAAATAATATCTCAAAGTTAATTATGTGCTCGTACGAGTTATAGATTAATTCTAATAGAAATAATTTCTTAATGTGACAAGAGCAAGACTCAAATTCAAGATATTTTCCCTATTTTGTGTTCTATAATTGAAAGATGGCCAGCACTATGATTTTCATGAAGAAACCAAGATGAGATCTTCTTCAAAGTACATCATTATCTTATATTATTATTTTGATTTTGACTATTAATCACTCTTGAGTTACCCTATTGAAAGCATCAATTTAAGATATAATTGACGAATTTCATCTATATATACGATCAAGATAGATCCTTAATTATGGAATTAATTATGATTATAATTGAAAATAATAAGTTCAGTAAAATCTGCAAATTATAGTTTTTTTAATCAATATTTAAAAAAAAAAACTCAATGAGATCTATGCAGTAGAATTATGATATAAAATGATTAACTAAGTATTTTTAAATATATAATTAGAGTAAAATACATTACACCACGAGAACAAACATAGCTCTAATCAGATCCATGAATGCTGAGAAACACAATTATTCTCTTCTAAGAGCTACATCAAGGTTGTTAATGATTGCAACCAAGTTACTAAAATGTTTTTAATTATGCCATTTTTGTCGAATAGGAGGAGAGCAATTGATTTCAACATCTCAAGAATTAGCTCTCCATGCTAATGACAAGTTGCATCACGGGGTTCTGTTTTGTTTACTTAATTGGGTAATAATTGCTAGAAAGATCTGAAAATGATATGCCATGAGAATTGGTTCGTGTGTGAACCAGAAGATATTTGATAAAATGGGAAGATGATGCAAGACAATGACTTTAGATCACCCTTTTGCTTTCTACAAGAGGTAATGAGTCCCACCATTCTCTCTTTCACGAGATAAAAAATACCATCTTTCATGTTCATGGCGAGAAAGATCATCGCAATCAATGCCAAGATGGCCATTAACGAAGAAACAAAGAGTTCACATCCTACGCTACCTTTCTTGTCTTTTTTGCTGTGTAAAGAAACCTCCTTTCAAGGAATGGCTCACAAAATTCATGGCTATCTCCAAGAAAGAACACAGGCAACTTCACGTATTCTTCCCGACAAAGAAAGTAGGATATTATTTTCCCTATGTTGTCCTGAAAGATAGAAATAGTTCTTTCCAGTTCCCGTGTTGGGGTTTAACGTCATGTTTATCTTTTGTATTTTACAATTATTTTTTAAAAAATAAATTATTTTTATTTTAAATTAATATTTTTTTATAATTTTATATTATTTTAATAAGTTAATATCAAAAATAAATTTTTAAAAATAAAAAAAATATCATTTTGATATATTTCTAAATAAAAAATGTTTTAAAAAGTAACCACAACTATATTTTTAAACGGAATCTAAGTGTTAATTGAATAATGATATTTTTTTAACTTAAAAATATATCAATATATTAAAATAATTTAAAAATATAATAAAATTAAAGAAAAAAATTTAAATTTCTTTAAAAATGCTTTTACACAGTAAAAACAATCAATACCTAAATATATTTGATATTATAATACATAATACTTTTTAAAAATACATAGATACTTATAAAAAAACAATCAATATAATAAAATAATTATTTTTATAACATCAAAACCACAAGAAATACCAAAACATTATTTTAAAATATTCTTAAACACGCGAGGTTCGAAGCACAAAACCACACGATCTCTATACAACGAAAAGGAAGAACAAAAAAAAAAAAAAAGGTGGGCAAAGCTTAATTGCATTTATGATAATTACAGCCTTTTTCTAGCACTTTACATGGTCAAAGATGGAGCCACTTTCATTAGTTTATGATTTGTTGACAAAGGAATCTTTTTGGTTGCTTGATACGTGACCTAATTAGGGTCGTCAAATGGTGGACTGACGTGTCACAGTTTGATCCATTAAATGGTGAATTAGTGTGTTTCCTTTTAAAATCCATTAAAGCTCGAGGCATATTGTCGTTTTCCCCTCTTAAAATCTTCATATTTGTTTGCTCTCCTTTTCTTCCAAACATGCCCAAGAGGTTTGAACGCAATAAGTAAAGCATTTGGTACAAGGTCATTAAAATAATTTGCAAGACTGTATAATAATTTATTAATGCTAATGAAAGGTGAGAAAAATACTTAAATTATGAATAATGATTGGTGAGGTAGAAATTCGAAATTATTTAGTGCTTATTTTGAAATAAAAGAAAGGAGAAAATATATTTAATTGGATAGTACTAATACTAAATACCCTTAATAATTAACTTCTCCCAAAAAGTTGCACCTAAATTTCACAAGAACCGAATTTCTGAATTAAAAGAAAAGGGTTTACTTAAAGATATAAGAGAGAACAAAATAAAAAAGTAATGGTCCAATTAGACCAGCTCATTAAGCCATATGGATCCGGACAGCAACGGCCTGTTATCCTTTCACTGCCAAGAGAAGGAGGTGATCGCTGCTCTGTGAAACCAGCCTCACGCTGTGCCCTCCACTCTAGAAGCCATGACACCCAAGTCTTCACTAGGATGCCATGGTTCAACTCCTGGCTTGAAACGGGCAGGCCAGATTTCAGCTCAACCAAACCCAGCTTTCTGGGCTGAATCAACGTTCCATCACCTTAAAGCTCCCACTCGGGTCACAAGCCTTCGTTACTTGGCTCAGCTGAATAGCGGACGGCTGAATGAGGGTTATAATGGTGTCATATTATTTCTTTGCTTCCGATGTGGGATTTCTCTCTCTTCTTTTCAGGAGTCCATCATGCTTGACTCTTATTTTACATCAAATCACAAATGAGATGGGGAAATCTGGGCAGTAAAAATACTACATTGAAAAAGAAAAGGATAAGAAGTTGAATAAAAATTAAATTGATTGCGTTAACATTTCACTGGAGGGATTCTTACTCATTGGAAAGTAGGTGAGGTGTCAAGTTAATGGCTCTTAAGTTGCACAGCCATCAGCTTCACAGTTCATGGTTTTGCTTCAATATCTGGTAAAAGAAGACAAATAATGGACCGTGATTACATCACTTCTGATGGGGAATGCCGGAGTGATTACGGATTAGAAAAGCACAAGATGAAGGGAAAGTAGAACTTTAAATCATTAAATCCAAATCAAGACTATCTTTTTAGGTGTCGAGTGAGTAGGAGGAGGCAGCTAATTAAGGTTGCATGATTAGGGAATCGATAGCAATAAAACCACACTATGATTCTCCAAATCTGGGTTTATACTTTTTGACTGTGATGGCCCCAAAATATATCTAGTGCTAATGGGCGTGACACTCTATGTAGTGTAAATGGCCACCGAAAGAAGAAAGCAAGAACCTTGGACTGCGTTGCTCGTTTTCTTTCAAACTTCGGTTTGAGTCCCAGGTTTGAGTCCTAGTGGGAGTAAGGCTGGCGAGTAGTGTCCTTCCTGGTTCTGCTGGCTCCTTGCTGTGTAGTATGCATGTCACCCCCGCGGTGCCTAATCTGTTCACTGAGGCTTGCAAGATGTCCAGTGGACCGTGGGATTAGTCGTGGTGCGCGTAAGCTGGCCCGGACATCCACGTAAATAAAAAAAAACAAAAAAAAAAAGAACCTTGAACTGCAGGGAAATATTAATTAATTAATTAAGAAAAACTACAAGGCCCCGGGTCTTTTACCATTGCATCTTCTGTAACGGCACTATGAAATCGCACAATGATATTTATTTTTTTGCTTTTTTTTTTCTTGC